TCTCTCTTTCCCTTTCTCTCTCTTTCCCTTTCTTTCTCTCTCTTTCTGGACAGCTGGGACAAGCGAGACGGCAGGGATGACCTTGAAGAACCTTTTTTGCGCCAACGCCTCAACAGCAGAGTCCGTGGAGGTGAGCTCCCCATTTTTAATCACCCCGCCTTCCCTCTCTCCATCTTTGAGCCAGAACCCCCCCGCCCCCCCCCCGAAATCTTCACTTCCCAGGCCGCTGCTTGCTCCCTAACATGGCAGACTTGTCCCCGCTCCGCCACAGGTTCCCTCCTGAAATTGTGTTCTCTCTCCCTCCCGCTTGTTTTGGTAAAAATTAAAAGGAGGAGATTCCGGGGGCATCCGAAAAGCACAAGTCGAAACGCGTCCGTATTTCGGTGGTGGTAAGTGTGGGCCGGCCGCCCCGTATCCGTTCCTCTCCTTCCCAAAATCACAGGAACTAAAAATTAGATCAGCCCTAAACTGTGCTGAAGGTTACAGGATTTATGAAACCTGACTCCCCAATTCAGGACAATTTGGCTTCTGTAAGATTCACACATGCCTAACTTTTTTAAAAAAAAAAAATAAATCTGCCTGTTTATCCATACAAACTCCTTTACACAAAGTTTAGCATTAACCTTGTATTCTTTACGACCTTCGATCCAAAGCAGTGTTTCTCGACCGTGGCAACTTTAAGAGGGGTGGACTTCAACTGCCAGAATTCCCCAGACGGTTTGGTTGACGTGGTCTCAGGTTTTTGTTTTTTTTAGTTTTGCAAGGAACCTACGAAAGAGCTTTCTGGGCTCACGGAATATATATTTTTTCCAAAAGGGAAATCAATTCAACAAGGGTAGCTCTTTGCAGCTCAGCCTTTCTTATGACGTAGACCAGGGGGTGTCAAACTCAATTTCATTGAGGGCCACATCAGGATTGGATTTGACCTTGGAGGGCCCGGTGAGGGCATGGCCATGGTGGGTGTAGCAGAAACAAGACTGCACCACCGCAGGCATGGTTTTATAACCTTACTATCTTGATACCCATGCTTCAGTACAAAACTATGTGATCGGGCTTAGTTTTGAGGGAGGAAAATAAGGGCAAAATAATTGTGCCTCTGCCTACCAGCATCCATTGGTATTTATCTGACTAGCGTCCTATCAGTGTGTGAGAGAGTTGAGGTCTGTTTGGAAACTGAAACAGTATTTGCTGTGTGAGCAAGAGGGAGACAGCAAGGAGCCTGGGCGTGGCTTAGCTCAACTGTTCTGTACTAAAGCTGCTTGGTGCTCTGAAACTGAAACTGAAAAGCCTCTCCTCTGCTTGTGTTTTGCATTTGGAACAGATTTCTTTTCAGGTGGGGAGAGAGAGTTGAACTTCTTAGCATCAGAGCGTGTTAATAATAATAACATAGGAAATACTAATGCTCTGATAGTCATTTCAAAAAAATCCTTTTTTAGTGAGTACCTAGAAGCCAAGAGTGCCAAATTTCAAGTTTGTAGGCTTTACGGTTCTGGAAATTTTGTGATGATACATGAGTGGTATTTCACCTTTTAGATAGACAGACAGACAGACAGACAGATAGATAAAAATAGGGAGGCATACGTTTCTGTGTTTTTGTTTTTTCAATACTTACTTGATCTACTTGAGAGAGAGACTAGATCAAGAATCTGACTCCGTAGGAAATTGAACTACAAAATTGTTGGCATACAGTAGGCTACAGTAGCAGAATCCTGCAAGTCTGAAAGGTAAAGTTTTCCTCCCTTTTCCTCCCTTGTATAACCTTCTGAGTCAAGGACGGCCTCCTTGCAGCACTCTGGAGGCTCCGTTTTGGGCCTGGTAGGCTTCCTGGACCACCCTGGAGGCCGAAAGCGGTTGCGGAGGGGGGGGGGCGCCCTGCCTGCGCCCCATTTTTGCTAACAGAGACCCCACAGGCCAGTCTTTTGCTGTTTCTAGGGCTGCCCCTCAGAGCAGATCCGGCCTGCGGGTTTTGAATTTGACACCCCTGATGTAGACAGTGACGCTAAGTGACAATTTAGCTAAAGATGCTAAATTCAACGTTAGGCTGTATTGACGGAAGTATGGACTTCAACACCCAGAATTCCTTTAAGATGGCTGGACTTCAACTCCCAGAATTCTGTGCTGACTGGGGAATTCTGGGAGCTGAAGTCCACACGTCTTAAAGTTGCCACGGCTGAGAAACCCTGTTCTGGGTTTTACAGATCTTTGTTTGCATAATATCGTGCGAATATATTTAGAATAAAAGAGTCTGCAAATCCTGGCCAACCCAAAGCTCTGCTGACTTGTACTATCCTTATCATTTAGAAGAAATCTTGCACGTGGCACAGTTGTGTTGATTTTGACAAGGCCTACTTCCTAAAGTCTCCGAGGTTGAAAAATCACTGATTATAGATAATAACTTGCCAATTAACTTGTGCCTATATCTTATCTTAAGATTAAGAAGCACACACAATGCACATTTAATTATGGCCTATAAATAGGACTCAGAGTATATATAAAGTGCCTGACATTGATAAAATTCCACCTGGTTTGAGCTTCCAAAAAGCACTGAGCTATCCAATCCTTGAAACAACATGGTTGATATTCTTTGAGCTCATTTTGTGTAATAATTTGTACAGGAGCCTCAAATTCTGCATTGTTTTGGGATTTATTTTTTTTAAAAAAAACCCTCTAATATACTGCCTTTTAGCTTGGGCAACTTCAAAATGTCTGGATTTAAACTCTCAGAATTCTGGCTTGTGAATTCTAGAAATCCAAATCTAGCCCTCTTAAAGCTCCCCTAATTGAAAAACACTGCTCTAACGTACAGGTAGTCCTTCACTTATGACCACAACGAAGCCCAACATTTTGGTCGCTAAGCTCGTTCGGTGAGTTTTGCCCTCTTTTATGACCTTTCTTGACCGCTGTTGCAAAGTGAATCGCTGCAGTGGTTAAGTTAATAACAGGGTTTTGCCAAGCGCCCGAATGTTAAATCACACGGCCACAGTCGTAAGTCGTAAGCTGCAATGGTCGTGAGTGCGAAACACGGTCACAAGTCCCCTTTTTCAGTGCCATTCTAACTTCAAATAGTCACTAAAGGGATGGACGTATGTCAAGGACTACCTGTACGGCCACCCTCGAGTACCTTCCGCACAGTTTCAGCTCTCATTTTGATTGTGTTTTTGTGTTAGCGGTAACCCAAAACAATCCTCTTATCTTCCTTTGACAAACCAGTTGATTTATTTAGAGCCATCTTCCCCTCTGGAACAACCAATCCTAAATATTTCTTGCCTTCATCCCTGCCTCAAGAATGACTAGCTTCCTTTCCTCGTTTCCATCTTTCTATCCTGAAAATAAATCTGCATCGTAAAAGTGATTTTTGGTGATCCTCTACCTGTCTCTAAGAAGATGGCAAAAGGGGGCTGAATTAGTGACGACCCCACTGGGTGAATTGTGGCTATCTTCACCTTTTATCTTCATTTGGTCGACAAATACCTCCTTTTTTTTCTTGCGAGAAAGACATGAAAGACATTTCTGGGCTCACGGAATGCATTTTCCAAAGAGACATCCATTCAAGGAGCGTAGCTCTTCGCAGCTCCGTCTTTATTACGATGTACACAGTGACGCGGTCCCCTTGTTCAAAGATGCTAGTGCAACATCTGGCTTTTATTGACGGAAGCATCGAGTAACACGGCTGTTCTCCTGGATGCTGCAAAGGCCCTAGGTATGATCTAAGGCGCCAACGCAAGCGAGGAGGTGAAAGTCTATGTAGTCGAGAGATGATAAGAGTCGCGCGGGGGAGGGTCCTGGCGTTACATTCCCATGATATACGTAAACCTGGTTACCGATTTAATCCCCAATGTGGGTTTCCACAGTGCATTAAACCATAAAACGAACCAAACAGCTGGGGACTGGCACAACAGACTAGTTCAAATCCCCACTTACGTGTAGGCCTCGACTTGCAACCACAAATGAGATCAGAATTTCAGCTGCTAAGCAAGGCAGTTCTTAAGTGAGTTCCACAGGCCTCTGGGAGGGCGAAAACAGCCTTCCCAAGGCTTTGGAGGACCTCCAGAAGCTGGAAACAGGCCCATTTCCAGACATCCAAAACTTCCAGGAGAGCCATTTTTCTCCTTCCCCAGAGTCCGGAGGCTTCCCCCAGGCCTCTGGGAGGGCGAAAACATCCTCTCCCGGGCTTTGGAGGCCCACCGGAAGCCAGAAACAGGCCCATTTCTGGACTTCCAGAAGGCCTGTTTTTCCCCCTACCAGAGCCTCCACGTGGGCCCTGCATTTACCTGCATCCAAAACAGGCCACATGGAGACTCCTGGGAGCGGAGGGGCAGGTTGGGCGGGCCCAGCTGGTCAGTTCAACTACCGGTTCGGTGAACCAGGTGTAGATTTAACACCTGGTTCACCCAAACCGGTACGAACCTGTCTGAATCCCCCTCTCCTCCTTTTATGCCACGGTTGTTAAGGGAACTTCTTGCTGTTAAGTGAATGAGACACTTGGTTGTACGAACAGAGGCATAGAATCAACCTCAGGTGAAGTATTAATACCGCTGTATAAAGCCTTAGTAAGGCCACACCTGGAATACTTGCATCCAGTTTTGGTCACCACATGACCAAAAAAAAAAATGTTGAGACTTTGGAAAAAGTGCGAAGAAGAGCAACTAAGGTGGTTCAAGGCTTGGAGATTAAAACATAGAAAGAACGGCTGCAGTATTTGGACTTGGCTAGTCTAGGGAAAAGAAGGACTTAAGGGGACATGAGAGCAGCGTTCCAGTATTTGAGGGGCTGCCACAAAGAGAAGGGGATCAATTTATTCTCCAAAGCACCAGAAGGCAGGACAAGAAGCCATGGATGGAAACTAACCCAGGAGAGAAGCAACCTAGGACTAAGGATAAGTTTCTTAAGAGTGAGGACAATTAACCAGTGGAACAACTTGCCTCTTGTTTAAATTTTAAATTTCCGGGCATTTATATCTTGGAGGACCTCTCATGGACTGTGAATGCTAACATGCTTGTAAATAGGATGGGACAGGACAGGACGGAACGGAACAGAACAGAACAGAACAGAACTGAACTGAACTGAACTGAATTGAATTCTTTATTGGCCAAGTGTGATTGGACACACAAGGAATTTGTCTTTGGTGCAAATGCTCTCAGTGTATATAAAAGTAAAGATACATTCATCAAGAGTCAAGAATCATCAGGTAAAACACTTAATGATAGTCATGAGGTGCAATAAGCAATCAAATCATACTAGGAAACAGTCCATATAAATCATAAGGATACAAGTGATAAAGTTATAGTCATACAGCCACAAGTGGGAGGGAATGGGTGATAAGGAGTGATGAGAAGATTAACAGTAATAGTAGTGCAGACTTAGTAAATAGTTGGACAGTGTTGAGGGAATTATTTGGTTAGCAGAATGATGGCGTTCGGGGAAAAAAATTGTCCTTGTGTCTAGTTGTTTTGGTGTGCAGTGCTCTATAGCGTCGTTTTGAGGGAAGGAGTTGAAACAGTTTATGTCCAGGATGTGAGGGGTCTAAATATTTTCACAGCCCTCTTTTTGACTCATGCAGTATACAGGTCCTCGATTGGAGGCAGGCTGGTAGTAATTGTTTTTTTCTGCAGTCCTAATTACTCTCTGAAGTCTGTGTCTGTCCTGTTGGGTTGCAGAACCAAACCAGACAGTTATGAGAGGTGTAGATGACAGGCACAGAAGGAACAGAAGAGGCTGTACTTCCTGAGAATACTCAGGAAGATAAATCTATCTCAGCATCTACTTCTATCCTACTCCCGCAGCACCATTGAGAGTGTCCTGACATACGGCACTCTTGCATGGTACGGGAGTAGCTTTGTAGAGGACAAAAAAAGCTCTACAGAGAATCATTTAAAAAGCCCAGAATGTCGTTGGGCTCCAGCTACCAGGCTGGATGACATCTTTGCATCTCGCTGTGCGAGGAAGTTGCACAACATTCTCAAGAGACTCTTCCCATCCTGCTCACAATCTTTGTGAACTGTTGCCTTCTGGCAGAAGATACAGAACAATTAAAACTCAGACCACACGTTTCCTGAACAGTTTTTAATCCCAGAGCTATAATTGCACTTAACAACGAACTTAAGGACCACCACCAGTGAGCTGTTGGACAGTATTACTTGGTCTGTTGTGTGGATGCTTGTGTGTTTTCAGGGGTTGGGGAACTTTGATGGGTGGGGGTTTGGGGATTGTCATGTGTGTGTGTGTGTGTATGTGTGTGTGTGTGTGTGTGTGTTGGGTCTGGTCTCTGGGTATTATGTGAATTTTGTTGTATTTATACTGTGTATATGCATACAATGAAAATAAAGAATCCAAATTCCTGTAGTTCTGTCATGCCCTTGTTGGAATCTGATTCTGAGGAGGAGATTGAGCAGCCAGGGAGTGGGAGTGTGGCCCTGGTGGCTGTGGAAGAAATGGAGGAAGGGCACAATCCGGCTGGGCATTCAGAGGAAGACCCAGGGCCATCCCCTCTTCATCCTAGGGCATGCAGGGAGGAACAGAAAAGGGAACAACGTGGCTTATTGGAGAGAAAAAGGCCCTGATCCCCTTTCATTAGTTGCAGCTGTGAGAACAGAATATAAGAAGGTCGTTTGCACACAGCACCTTGCTGGAAGCAAAGCGTGCATTATCTTTGTCGAGGCTTATCTGGGTTTTGGCGTCCTCCCAACTGTGGGTGCTGCGTTATCTTTTGGAAGTCTGCAGTTCATTATCCTGGCCTGTCGTGTTAAGGATTCCGGTGTGGTTTGTGTTGGTTTTTTTTTATTTCTAATTTATCTATACTTTGGGTTCGGACTGCATTGCTTCCCTTTGTAGACTGTTTTTGAAAGAGTTGGATCTCCAGCCGCGGATAACTGGACATTGGGGGCCAAGTTGGAGGTTTTAAAGGGAATTTATCTACTTTTTTGACTTTGTTATTTTTGTGCCACACCCTGGGTCATCACAAGTTCTTTTGCCAGCTCCTGATTCTCCTGACTTCTACTCCTTCAGCTGGGCCTCCCCTCCTTCCACTGCCCAGTCACACCCTGTGTCCCTTTTCCCCACATAGGTGCTTATGGTAAATAATCCGTCTTCTCCTTGTTTCTCTTGCAGGATGAATTTGATCCAGTTAGCGAGATGACTCCAACTGAGGTAAGCTTCTAGGAGTCTCCCATCTTGACTGAGATGCTCCAATTTTGAAAGGAGAAGCATTTCTGCCACCACCTTAGCCAACACTCACAAAAATAAGTCAAGTTTATGACTAGATAGCCAGTGCTAGGTTCTTCCTCCTTCTTGAAATGGTATAGTATCTCCTGCTTGAGCAGGGGTTGGACTAGATGACCTACAAGGTCCCTTCCAACTCTGATTATCTGTTACCTGTTTCTTGTGCCTTATCCGTCATCGGACATTGGCGATCCTGTTTTTATCAACGGCTGCATGAAAAAGTGCTGCTGAGTTTTGTCAAGAGTATATTCATGAACTGGGATAGAGCTTGGTAACAAGGTCAGCCAATGAATAGGCCATAGCAATTAAGTCAGCCAAAGAGAACTGTTTGGAAACTGAAACTAGAAGTAGCTTAGGCGTGGCTCTGTATTAAGCTCTGCAGCACTGCAGCTATGTGAAGCTCTGAGTCTGTCTATTGAAAATGAAACTAGCTTGCTTGCCTGCTGGAGCTACTTGCAATAATGTTTCTGTCTGAGTTTGCTCCATGTTGGAGAAATCTACACCTGGTTTGTAAAATCTACTTATTATGTTTATAAAGATGTTAAATGAAGCATCAGCCACCTGTGTTTATTTTTCTGGCGCTGAATTAATTGCTGCAAAAGTCTGAACAAGTTTTGTCCATACCAGTCCCTTAGATCAAGGGTCTCCAACCTTGGCAACTTTAAGATTTGTGGACTACAAGTCCCAGAGTTCCTCAGCCAGCTTTGGAGACCCTTGCCTTAGATTGTGCAGCCATGATGTTCTTCTTCTGCCTGGACCTCATTTGCCTCCAGTCTTTCCCTGGAGGATTAAGTGAAGTAGGCTGTATTTTTCCAGGTGTCTCATCACATGTCCAAAATATTCTAAGGTTTTCCTTTTTTATGGTTCTGATGATTTTCCTTGGCTTTCCCAGGTGGGATTCAAATATTTTTACTACCGGTTCTGTGGACGTGGCTTGGTGGGCATGGCAGGGGAAGGATACTGCAAAATCCCCATTCCTTCCACTAACCTGCTTTCCAGCACATATTCCATCCGGTCCAATAGATAGAGATGGTTTTAGATTGCGCAATGCTTTTTCAACAATGTCTTCTGTAAAATCGATATGTATTAGATCATTGTAGTTTTCTGTGGTTCAGCTAGGAAATACTGGGCATGATCCATTGGTGTTTACAAATACTGATCCAAAGAATATGTTAAAGAGGTTGGCTTTAATGGTGTCGTTGTTGCAGTCTTTACCATTAGGTCCTATCAGGGGTGGGATGGACCTTGAGTCTTTTAGTTTGTTGTTTACAAAATTGTAGAAACGCGGGTGGAATTGGTGCACAGAAGGTTTTCCTCTTGTTTAATGTGATAATTGATGCATTCAGTTTTTGTCTGGTGGCATACATTTTTGTATCGGCTTTTGAAATTGGCAACGTGACCAGATTTGTTTTTCTGCCAAAGTGATCTCTTTTTGGATTGAAGCTTCCTTATTGTTATGGGTAATCTGTTTTTCCTGGTTTTGGGAGTTGTTATTGGTACGTATAGTTTGATGACTCTTTTGACTTCAAGTAAAAAAATATTGTAATGGTCTTCAACAGTATTGCATCCAGTGAATAGAAATTGCCAATCAAGGGATGAGAGATTGTTGTCTATAAGACCATGGTTGCCTTTTTTGAAGTTATAATTGGGGATCACATCATTGTGATGATTTTTGTGTGGACGTATGTTGAGACAAAAGTCAATCATGTTGTGGTCATTGTTGGAAAAGGGTTCTTTAATTTGTATTCCATAAATTGAATTCAAACTATTGCAGAAGATGAGATCGAGGTAGTTGTTAAGTCTAGTATTGTTGGTTACTTGTGGTCCCAGTCCCAGATTTGTTACAGCGTTGTAGAAGGTTGCATGTGTGGGTTCAGTTTTACCCCCAACAACCTGGGTCCTCATTGTACCGACCTTGGAAGGATAGAAGGCTGAGTCAAACTTGAGCCAGTCAGGATTGAGAAGGCCTGGCCTAGACCAAAGGGATAAAACCTATTTTAAGTCCAAAACAACAAGACGAGTAACTCTGGCAGAGGCCTCCCTGATTTACTGGGTTATAAAAAGGAGAGGATGTATAATATTTTAATTAATTAATGCATCAATCTGATTAAATTAGTGGAATGACAAAAGCCTCCAGAAGTTGTGGGTGTATCATTACTGGAGGTTTTTAAGAAACGTTTGGACAGCCGTTTGCCTGAAACGATACAGGATTTCCTGCTTGAGCTGGGGGTTGGACTAGAAGACCTCTAAGGTCCCTTCCGACCCTGTTGTTCTATATTCCAATGCAATCAGTCTTGCAAGGTTGTGCTATTATTTCAATAAAGTATAGTTTTGGTCTACCCGTGGAGCTGATTCTCAGGTCTAGTCTAGTCTACCTAGTGGGGCTGTCAGCTTTTTATTAAATCAACCCAGTTGTCGCTTTCTAATATCTGGGGGGGGGGGGCTCTTTCTTGATTTTTTCTGAACTTGGAGAGGCTTGCAACTGAACCTTGGACCATGTGTAAAACAGGCCCCGTGCCATTGATAGAGCATGAGATTGTTGCAATTGCCTTAATCAAGAAGTGCTGGGAACAATCTGATAATGCGCTGCCCATAAAGATCTCCAATCCATCCATCTCTGCGTCTCTTTGAATTAGAGCAAATAATTAACAAGCAGAAGCCTTTGAGGTGGTTTGTCTTATCTGTTGCTAAGAGCTGGGGAAATAAGCTTGCCTGTGGTTAGTCTTTCCCTTAATCACCTATCTGCTTTAAATTATTCGCACATTGGCTGTGATCAAACAAACCTACTTAGCCAGATAAAGACCTTGCAGATAATTCACAGAACTTGCAAAATTTGATTAGAATTGCTTTTTACAAAAAAAAAATTCTATGGCTTCGTATCTGCAAAGCCAGCCCGTGTGTGGTTCGTTTGTTATTCCAAAAATTATGAAAATCCCAAAGAGGCTACCTCAGGAAGCATATTATCTGAAAACAGTCACATCTTCCAAAGTCGGTAGGGTGCAGTCATCGGGGTTTTAAAATTAATACAAGGGAGATTCAAGTTTTAGATGCCTTCAGGCATGATTTTCAGTTTGTATGCCAATCTGTAGCACTTCTCTTAATATGTTAAATGTTAAACCCAGATTAACAAATCTCAGTGGTAGTCTTCTGTAGCATGTTGTATGGAACCAGAGACTATCTGTACTGAACAATAGGATTAGGATTAGGATTAGGATAGAACAGAACAGAACAGAATAGAAAAGAAAATAGAGAATAGAAATAGAAAATTGAGAATAGAATAGAATAGAAAATAGAGAGTAAAAATAGAATGGAATGGAATGGAATGGAATAGAAGAGAAGAGAAGAGAAGAGAAGAGAAGAGAAGAGAAGAGAAGAGAAGAGAAGAGAA